TCAGAATAAGGTGAATATACTTACTGGCATATTGAGGTCTTTGTATGTCGTTATCTCCCCAAGACAGACTAACCAGGAAGGAGATGCCAAAGTTGTTGCTTTTATGTTGACACTTTATCCATTAGTGGTACATCAAGTGATTTTTGAGGACTTTGTTCATAATTTTCCAGCAATATGGAACTTGCCTGAATAACTTACTCATTACTCATAACTTACTCATTACATTTTATCCAGTTTTGAGACCTTTGCCAACTGTTTATCGAAGTGTTAATGTTGTTAGATAAACATACAGATGAGTGCATAGAACAACATGCAATCTTTTTCTCCAAGAATAGATGTTGTGTTTTTCATATTTAACTCAGTTATATCATTAGCCCTGATTTAAATTAAGAAGTACAGATTTTTATTTGTAAAAATCTGCCCACATAGAGTGGTATGGTGCAAAGGACATAGAACTTGGAAGGGTAAGTCTATTATTATGTTACTTTTTTATATCCTTTTTTACTTCCCCAAAGTTTTTGAGCCAGTTCATTACTATTATCCTAAGCAAAATTTGGAGAGCACATTTAGAAACCAAGAAAAATTTGCCAGAAAGAAAAAAAAACAGGGCTGTGAAATTAAGGGGAGATGTCATTGCCTACAGAGTCTCACTCAAACTTTGGAAATGAAAAGGTAAGGCCGGATGGGGAGATGGAGAGAGGGAGGTAGGGATTGCTATCCTGAGAATGTCCTCACTGTTTTCCAGTAAGGTATGTAAGCCAAACATGGACCCTGAGAATGGACGCTGGGCTTAATGAGGCCACATGTAAGTGCCTTAAAATATTACAGTGAAACCCAGTAAAAAAGGGGGTGGAGATTCTCTTCAAAATTCCTCGAAAAACTTCTAATGGATGACCCATAGTTGAATCTCTACAGCTGAAGGGTAGCAATAATGTTATCAAGATGTTTTAAAAACAAGGCAAAGTTCTTATTTTTATGACTCCTTACAAAACATAGTGGACTATATCCAAGAGATGATCAGTTTGAAATATTTGGGTATATTATACTTAACAAATGATTATTGCTTCTAGTGTTGAATGCCTGCTTTTGCTTTTCAACTACTTGATTATCTGATAAACATTTCCTTAAATTTTGCGGGGCTTTTGGGGGCATATATCTATAAGCCTTTTTTCTTAAAAAAAAAAAAATTTGAAAGACTGAGTAGTGGAGTTTTAATGGAGTGCTGGAGGGAGCACTCTAAAGGGGTCTATTCTAGGCCTTGATAAAGAACTGTATGATTTGGACTAAAGATGTTAGACCCTTTGTGCCTCAGTTTCCTCACCTGTGAAATGAGCATACGAAACCATCTTCTAAATGTCCTTTTTAATCCTAAAATTAAATTATTACATGAAAATATGTTTTCCTCATTCTCTTATGCTGAAACCGTGTATGTGCTCTTATCAGTAGCACCTTAAGAAAAAAAAAAAAAAGCCCTCCCTTATCGTGGCCTAAGATAAATTAACATGATAGCAAGCAGTTATGTACAAACTTCCCAGTTATGGAAATATAGTAGATGGCTGGCTGGGTACCATATTTCTTCACAAAGATTTGAGATGAGCATTTTATCTTTTTTTCTAACCCTGTATTTAATGACCTCTAAATAGTCTAAATACTGAGATCTTCTTCCACCCCTCCCATCCTATTAAAGAAAACATTTCTATCCTCTGGCACCACCTACTTTCTTTGTATTAGAATTTGATTTGCTTTTACATTGTGGTCAGAGGAAGAATTGTAACCATGTCCTACTTCCCAGGTGTCGAGGCAGACATCACTTTATCAGAGGAGAGGCAGAGAGGAATTCACGGAGCTCTGTGCGGGACCTGTGTTCAGCTGCAACACACTGAAGCTTTCTGAAGTACTCACTGCCTGGCCAGTATCAGAGAGCTTTATCTTTGACAGCACGGACAAGCTGTGCTGATGTATTGCCCAGTGTTTACCTGCTTTATTTAGTTCCATGGGACTAAAGAGTGATAGATATGTAAGTGATTAAACCCTCGGAACCAGGTGGATGTGGAACATTTTAGTGGGCTGCAGATGGATCCATTGTTTCTTCAGATTGGCTAGAGCTACATTATTTTGAATTATTCTTTGGGGGCATCCTTCCTGAGGCTAGAAGGAGGGACTCATTTTTTTAGTATGCTAGTAGCTTCCTCTTAATGATCTCCTTCAAATTCCCCAACAGATACCTCATCTGTGATCACCTTCAGGGGCTCTAAGTAATAGCATTTAACTTACATAAGTGTTTGTTTTTTTAAACTCAGGTTACAGACATTTCTGATCAACTTAATTAGTTTGCAATGAATATCACCATGCCACAGCACACAGAAATTTTGCACTAGAGAAAATTCAGAGTGGGGGGTGGGGGAGTAAAACACCAAGCCCATTTCATGGCAAAAGAGAAAAAAGGAAGGAAAAAAAGAAGCGATAGGTGTAAAAAAGAACAAAGAAATAATAAAATACAGTTAATGAATCCTAAGTTGATTACCTTTTTTCATAGGTCCCTAAATTTCTGGCCTAGAAGGCAGATAACACTGTTTACGAAACCATTAACAGCAACCACCACCACCAAAAAAAAAAATTCCACCTACTCATCAGCATTCTAACTCAGTGTGTTGCCTGTGACAAGCGACACTCTTGAAAAGATGGTCCTTCGATGCTTGTCTTGCCAGAAAGCTATTTCTGGTATAACTACATGACTGGGGGAGACTACGGCTAAGTCTTCCAGGCATGTTCCTATGTCCATCATCTGGCATTGGTAGATGCTGATCAGATCACCAAACTCACTGGCGCACACAGGGTGACAACACTGGGGACGGGAATGATTGTATTTCTCAGACTCAAGTGGGCACAGTGTTGATCTGTGTAATCCACAAAATATGTATGTGAGCTTTACCAAGGTTAAAGAGTGAATCCACTGTTCTTAGGTATCATTGATTGCAATTTAAAAATAGGCTCTGTGGGATTTAAGTATGTGTGAGTTTGGTATGGAAAGTTTCCCTGGAAAAGGTCTAAGAAAAACTGAAATCAATACTGCAGTGCTACATTATCCAGGAGTTTGCATTCGGGAGGCTGAATGTCTACTTCAAGCTTTTCCTCTTGGTTGGGGACTTAGGAGGTACATCAAAAATCTCAGATCTGTTCTGTGGCAAAAACAGCACTTCTAATGAATAGCAGGAAAGCAAAGAAAACACCTTTTCCTCTTTGTAATAAATCATTTTGTTTTTTCTATAGATTGCATGTGGCGTTTGAGGCAGAGTGAGCCGGGCTGCCAATACTGTGAGCTAATGCTTCAGCACCTTTGGTTTTCCTCTCTGAGCAGGAAACCTCTTCTTAAACTTGTTCATTTTACAGAGGGAAAATCGAAGCCAGTGGCATATTGTCAGAGCTGCTTTATTGTCATCATTTACAAAGGTCACTGGAATTAATTGACTTCTTACATATTTAAAGTGACTCATATTTTGACACATTTATGGGAAAATGTCAGGATCTAAGTGGTTATTGTCTTTTGATTTTGGCCCATATTAAAAACTAGGGAACCAATAATAACTCTGAAATCACAGTTGTAGGGGGAAAAAAAATACCATGCAGTTGGAAAGAAACAGACTCCATTAACTATTTGGTCAGTTAAACTAAAGGAAGGGAAGAGAGATTTCCAGAAGACAAAATGCAAATACCAGGTTTGTTCTAATGTCTTTACAGGACCCATTAAAGGAGGTAGTGAATGTTTCCACGAATATCCTCAATTGATGTTGTCTGTTTGAAAGCATATTCTAAGTAGCTGGCTTCCTTTTACAAGACTGGAAGTATAAATTAACCCACACTGTGTTCCATGAATCATCGGTACATGGATGCTCATAGTTTACTGAGAGTAATTCTGTCTCAAAGGTATTGCTTCTGAAACTAAAGAGAAATGTAGGATATGAGTAATATTTATAGTACCAGGGCAGGCACACTATTTTCCTAGGTAGATATTTTGAATCCTTACTTCTTGCCTTTCTATTCTTCACACTATCCCCTTTTCACTAAATTTTAAGGAAGGTTCTACTGATATTCATAGCCTGCTCTCACTAAAATTAGAGGCATGGAAACAAGGACATATTGTTAAAAATAAATAAATTAAGGGCAAATTAAGCCACATAGCTCAATAACAGCAAAGGGAATATAGTAGTCGGTTTGAACAAAAATCTTCTGAAATAGCAAATGTACTTTAAAGCCACCCTGCTGTGATTCTGTTAATTACCAAAGAAGATGAGAACTCTCCTGGTTCATGGGATCCTTTTGCCTCGCGTGTGTCGGTTGCAGCTGCATTAGCCATCAGGCATTTGCACTGTCCCTTCAGACCAGCGGGGGGGATGTTATTAAAGGGAAGTCATTTACCCCAATCCGTAAGATGTAGCCTGGCAGAAATTCAATAACTGTTTGTGATATGCTCATTCCGCCACTCTGCTCAATGGTTTTAGCTCTTGACATACAACACCATTTGCCTTAATCTCCATCCGCTGGGTGAAAGGGAGAAAAATGCCCCATTTAGGGGGCTGGTTTCAAAATACAGAATGATGTGTGATCCGCTTTTCATTATAAATAATGTGAAGAAGAAAAAAGAAAATTCCCCCCCTTCTCCTTCCTCTCCTCTCCACTCCCACTGTCCCCTTCTCCCCTCTCCCCCTCCTCTCCCCAGCACTGCTTTTTCTCTCCCACTCACAGCCTCTGATGGGCGTTCAAGCTAGTAAAATGCATGTTGGAGAATCCCACAAACACAGCTAAGCATACCCAAAGCCAGAGGGCTTTTGCATTTGAATTTCTCCTCAAAAGTAAAATGGAAAGAAGAATGCTTTAGAATTCAGACAAGACGAAAACATCAACGGAGAATTTAGGTTTGGATAAAAAAAAGAAAACAAACCAAGCATCAACTAAAGAAGAAATAGAGCATATTTAAATAGAAATGTATATTTTAAACTTACCTTGCCAAAGCAGTTTCTGTGATACACCGCCTTCCGTGTCCCTCCGTGCTGGCTTCCTCAGTTCTTCAGTTTCGATAATCACATGGTTGTGCTCTTGCCCGGGTGTAAATAGGTGCATGTGTGTGTGTAATAAAGTATACACAAACATGTACTATAGGTGGGCACACATGCGAGCGAGCTTATGTCTGTATTCTAAGATATAAAGGAAGGCAGGAGGCTGCAGCTAGGGTTCCTTCTTTTCTCCGGAACTCTTTCTCTCAGCTGGCAGGCTGAGGCTCTCAATCCAGTGAAGAGAGATCCTGGGAGCTGGCTTTCTTTCTCCTTGTTTCCATGGTGGTTAGTGGTGCATCGTTCACCCGATCAGTTGTCACACTGACATGGTGCTGCCTGCTCAGCGGTCATTAATAACTGAACACCCTCCACTCCCCAGAGAGGAGCCAATCGCTTCGGACTGCCAAGATGTAGCACTCGCAGCTGCTCCCGTCTGGTTGGCTGAAACAACCTGTCTGTTCTATGACACTGCTGCTTAGGATACAAATAAATGAAACAGGCTTGCATATTTTCCTAGGTATCATTCCCTTCCTTCCTGCCTTCCTGCCTGCCTTTCATCCTTCCTTCCTTCCTCCCTTTCTCCTCTCCATCCTTCCTTGCTTCC